CTCTCCGGCGTGATATGCCTTATAAGCCTTTGTGTAGACCCCCCGAGCCTCAATCGTCTGRGGGCCCCACCAGCGCTTTGACCGGGCAYAGAGTCTAATTTCCCGGGCATGTGCTCTAAGCACCCCAMTAAGGGAGTTCTCAACTAATATAGCCTCTTTTTCTATATCCCCCGAAGAGCAGTTRTCTGTTAGGCTTGGATAGGGGCTTGTGAGCCTTTTCCAGGTGTGCTCTGCTGCTTYTATCCTCTCCACGTCCCCTATCAGAGCGCTAATATCCCATCCAGTTACTGTTGCTTCTTGGGGGTTGGATTCTTCTTCTTGGGGCTCCCATGAGGCCCAGATRACTAGATGGTCYGAYGTGGTTAGGCCTGGTTGCCCWATTTCCCAAYTATCTAGTGGTCCTAGCGCCTCATTACTGATTGTGAGATCAATAATTGAGGTGCTAGGCTCTTTCTCACCCCTAATTGCTCCCTGAGAAACCCGGGTCTTATAGGGCCTTGTAGGCACGTCAAGYTCGTTRTTRACGAACAGGCCRTATCTGTCAATAAGCCTCTCTAGGGTCTCCGCGTCTTTCCTTGTTGAATTTAGGGCATTCCATAMGGGGCTATGGGCGTTAAAATCYCYAAGAATYAGGCACCTACCCCGTAGGATAGGGTCCCAATTCACATCTGTAAGGGCTCTCCGGTTACGCYGGCTCAYGCCAGCGTACGTGTGAGAGGCCCCTAACCAGCTRTCGTAACAGTTCACCACYCTGGTGCGCCTGCCTCGCTCCACGATATCCACCGCTATAAARTAGGGGTGGTTWACCAGGTCYGTTCGGGCCTCGATAACCACATTAACCACTATATCCCGCCTAACCGCAGTCACCACACGGGCATGCTCTCTAGGGCCYTCTGGCCAGTARAATAAGAAGCCTGGGTGGCTTATATCGTGCTTACCTACTGGGGGCTCCTGGAGGCATGCTATCTCCGCACCAGCCTCTAACGCTGCCTCYAATGCCGTATGGACTACGGCGCTGGTGCGGGCACAATTGTGTTGAAGCACTAACATGATCCCTGACTCGGGGGCGAGTCCTTGCTTCCRCGTCTATTAGCTCRATATCATTTGGCTCTGGGCCTGGGGTGTCCACTGGTGYYAGGCCTAGAGAGCTMTCCTCCAGGGGCTCTGATTGGGGCTTTGGGGGTAATGGCACCACTACGCCTACCTGCTGACCCGCTGGGAGTCGGTGTTGCAGRTGGCGATCCCGTACRCGCTGGAGAGCGTGTTTACGCGCCTGCTTCACYAAGGGGCATCTTGGGGACGAGGCCTCATGAGCCTCACCGCAGTTGGCGCACTTGATTAGGCAGTGTTGGCACGCTTTACCGGGCCTACCCCTACAATCTACCACGTTGCAGGCATGGCTTAGCGTCTCATGGTCCCCGGCGCAGATCGAGCACTTAGGGGGTCGGCCTTTGCACCCAAG